CTCCCTCGCTTCATAACTACCTAACTTTATAACGGTGAGCATGCTCCACTGCTCACTACTGGAGAAGTACCGCGGTTCGTGTATCTGGTGAAATTATTTCTACATTGGCGAATGTATCATAAAATTACACTTAAAATTTGTAACTATAGGATGTAAAATATACATCTTTTTTAATTTTTAAAGCTAAAACTACCATAAAAATGTCTTAAGAAAGAAATAGTCTACTACGCAATTCTAAAATGATTTATTAAAATGCAAATGCCTCTAAAATCAACCGAAACTAAAACAGCAAACAGTTACGTGAATTTTCTAAAACTTCATATTGAATTATTTAGAGAATTAGATTTTATTTATGTGGTAGAGAATGCCCTGGAGGTTCCGTCGACCTTTGTTTTTCAATAAATAAATAAATGTAGTTATAAAATAACTAGTCTATTTTAATTTGACTACAAACTTGGTTTTTCGGTAGTACGTTCCGTGGGTAGTTACTGTACTGTATACATTTTCGGCGAATACATGCGATGTTGCTAGTATATAAATACATACATTATATTTGAGAACCAAAATACCAACGCGTCGCTCAGGTTGTCTAGCTCGCGTGCTTGTAAATTTACAAGTGCTGACAAAATCATGGCCGAATGCAAACTACATGATATTACAGTGACAAAGGGAAATTGTTTAAGTAAATTCGTGTTGCTTGCTATTTAGTTACATATTTATTATGGTATGTTATATTTTTACTTCTCTCTACGTTCTCTCTACTGACCTAATAAATACTATTATTTCATCAGCTTTTTAAATACAGAAAAAAATGCTGAAATAATTTATTGATTTCTACGATAATATTTAAGGTCTTCTGACAAACTAACGAACAGAAGAACTGATAAAAAAACGCACACGTAATCTAATGTATTAACTATTGCATCGAAATGTAACTATATATTTTACACAAATAGAAATAGTTTGGATTAATAATACTATAACTTTCATATATTGAAATCATGTGATAAAGGTCATTAGTGATATTTTCAGTGGCTTTAAGTAAAACCCTTAAATTTGGGCCGATATGATTCGTTGTGACGAATCCAAAGGATTCAGCTTAGTCACGATAGTCTGTAAATAGAGCCAGGTGCATTACGACACTCTTTTTTTAAAATTTAGTTTATTTATTGATTTATTTTGGACAACTTACAAAACATACACTAATACATAGTTTACAAACATGTTTTACCAATATTTGCTGAGTGTTGTCTTACTTACAAGGTACCACGGCATGGTAAGGGACAGTTACATCTAAGATTATACAATACAATATCTATAATATATAATATACAAAACATACAGAATATCATCGAAATTACTTAGAGACAGTGCATGCTACAGTACAGTACAGTTAGAGACAGTAGATGCATTTAAAGTGGTCTAAATGACGCAATAACTATGCTTTTAAATTTTGGAAGACTGTTGGAGAAAAAGTATTAGTTCGCTATATAAGCGTGTTAAATAAGTTTTACGTATCAAAGTTTCTTAAGTTCTATCTGAAATTTTACTTTAAAAGCTCGGTCTATCATTATTATTTAGCATTCAGGATCATTGTAGTTTGATTTTTTTTTGGTTTCTCTTTTTTTTTCTTCAGTAATGATCACGTTAAAACATCAAAGGCATTATCCTTTTTTATTTAATTTTATTCTACCTTCTTTGAGGTTTTTCCCTTTTCAAAGACGAAGGTGTTTCCTAGAGCGATAAATCTTAGTTAGATCCATAATGGCATACCGCAGCGTAATAAAATCATGGCCGTCTTTAGTGGAATTATTCGGAAACTCAAATTGATGCCTTCCTCGTCTAAATCTGTTAGTTTATTGATACTAAATTGAACGGTAGTAACATATTCTGTTTAGTTAAGTGATTCTAATTATTTCAATGTGGTCTTGCTATAAAGGGCGTAGTTTAGTAGAATTGACTGGAGTAAATAAATTCAAATCAAATGTATTAAATTTATTGAAATGTGAGCTTAGCAGACAAATATATTCAATACGAGTACAATCGACCTTTTATACTGTGTGGGAGTTTGTATCTAACCTCCATCTGATATCTAGGATCTAACCTTCTTGATTTGAATCTGTATATGTATGTTTTTATTGCAAGAGAAATATTAAAGGTTAGTATAAAGTTATGACTTTACACACACATGTATAAGCAGGCAACATCCTCTAATTAAGTTTTGGTTAAAGTTCTGGTTAAGTTAATTTCGGTTAGTACCTGAATCATTCAATTGCTCTTCGACTATTATTTGACCGCTCAAGCGACTTGTCACTAACAAAGTTAAGCGTTTACAGAAGAACACAAGTTTCAAATATTGATTGTCTATATCATATAACTCGACAAGTGAATAAGGATTCAGATATTCCTTCAGAGAATTATACTTATTTGTAGTAAAGATAAATATACGTAAATTTTTCAATCAGATTCCTTACAAATTGAAATGAACGTATGGAGACATCAGCTGAATGTGAATTATCTGTTCCATTTACTCTTTATTCGAGGAACATATCGCGGGGAACGTATTAAAACGAAATTGGAAGTTTCTTTTCGGTGAAGACGGTAGTAGGCACAATTGATGGGTTTGTATACACATTTATATAGTCCACGGCTTGGGCAAACCAATGCAAATGTTTTGTGTTGGCTTTGTTTTCTTCGCTTTTGAAAAGGTTAACTTGTAACATTGGGTGCCTTTAATTCAGGAAAGAGAGCACTGATGTCGTTGGATGGTAAAATAACTGATCAACAGCTAGTATGCATATATATCCTGAATTTTGTTTATGCGGGAACAATACCAATGTCCCCAGTTGCGTTTTTGGTGGTTTGGGTGTGTGTAATACAGCCACACACATTAAAAATGAATGTTTTTAGCCTAGATTGTCTCAGTTCTGGGCAAAAAGCCTATCCCAAATTCATTTATATGTATTAACAAATAAGAGTGGCAAATCCTTCGAAAGATACCTATTTAAAGATAAAAGCATTTTTTTTTGAGAAAAAAGGTTGTTATATTTAATTTTATAACATCTACAATTTTATACGACATACCGTAATATGCTTTACAGCACATTATCATCCCAGACTGGGAGGATTTCATTAAAATGGTTTTGGGTAATAAATTTTATTGACATGACAACATTTATAAATAACATTCGTAGCAGTTCCGAGACCTTGGCATCCAGGAAGTGCTTGTTGCTAGGCACATTGTGACATCAATACACATTGCCGCCCATGCTATTGATTTTACCGCTAAACATACACATTGATGTGTATCTGTGATTTCTTGGCGTTGATGCCAACCGAATGTGTACAAACTTCAGCGCAGACCAACAAGAAGGTGAAATTATTCTTTGGTTTGTATATCTATTTAAATAAACCCAAAGCACTTCAGATACATCACCATCGTATTGCTCTTTCCCAATTTAATTTGGGATCGGCACAACGAGTAATACTGATAAATGGTTTTCTTGGTTTCTTTTATTGCAGGCCGCATCATTGACAACAATCGTTTTTGGGGATGTAATCATTTTTAGACAGGACAAAGAAAGAAAGTGAATTGGGATGAAGAAAAAGAATAGGGCGTGGGAGGGTGAAGGATCTGGAATCTTGGATTTGGAATCGGAATAGGACTACAGTAGCTTGAACAGCTCGGAGTCCTGTACTAATACGTCTTTCCTGTGGTTAAAGAGTCCCAGTGGGGCGGAAAAAGAAGGCGCAGCATGCTTTAATTGTGTTTTTAGAAGGGCTTGGTTTTTTTAAACAGTTAGCCGTATAATAAATAGCAAACCCGCCTTGTCTGCTTGTGGTGTCTTGTAATTTTCCCACCGGAAAACAGCACTATACTACAGTCTAACTACGATCTTCATTTGACATAATTAATCATCATCATCTCAGCCGAAAGACGTCCACTGCTGGACATGGCCTCCCCAAGGTTCTTCACAACAATCGGTCCTGTGCTGCCTGCATCCACGGAATCCTTCTCCAGGTCGTCGGACCACTTTGTAGGGGACTACCCACGCTCCGTCTTCCGGCACGTGGTCGCCACTCGTGAACTTTTCTTGACATGATTCAAATTATCACCAACTTCAATGTGGCTCCATCGTGATAACTTGATCTGATGACTACATCGTGATAAACTATATTCTTGATTTCTTTTATTCGCCCTCAGGTGTCATATTTTTTTCTTTAAATTTAATTATTTCCATATACTGGGTCTACCAATAGGGATGACCTGGTTTTGACAGCTCATAGCGGCCATGTTTGATGATGGATCTTTGACGTCTCTTGACATTTGTGTTCAGTAAGGTTTGCCAGTTTATCATGTCATTTGGCCGATATATTATTTAAAACATAAATTGTATAAAATTATCTATCAAATAAATCAATCGGATGCATTTTTCATAAAAAAAATGTGTGTTTTATTCAATTTTTAAACCAGGACGTTCTTATTGGTAGACCCCATATTATAAATGCTAAAGTGAGTTTGTTACGCTTTCACGCCTAAACCACTAAACTGATTTCAATTATTTTTTTCACAAATGGAAAGCTACATTACAAGTGAGTAACATAGACCACTTTTACCGCGATAACCGACAAACACGCGGGCGGAGCCGCGGGCAACAGTCGGTTCATAAATAACAGAGTTCTGAGGTAAGAAACATAAGAAAAACAGCCTAATTAAGAGACTCCTTCTTTTTGAAGTCGGTTAAAAATAAAGTCTCCTTACCCTTAACAAAGTGATTGTACACAAGGATTTTGCCTCTATTGGCTATTATTATAAGAATAAGATTTAACGGTTTAATTCATGAACACATACAATTCTTCACATTAGACCAGCTACAACATCGTCCTAACTAAACACACTTATAATTATTCACAAGCCGAGTGAGTCACGAGCTACCCTCATCAACCGACTATACTAGCCAAAGTTAATTTTAAACAAAACTTTTAAACCATATCAAAATTTAAGCTACTTTTGTCGTCAGGAAAGAGTACTGTAATTTTCTAGCCCCGAATTTCGCCCCGATGCGGCGGTACAGTGCGGGAGGGGATCTACCACGACATTGACCCAAATTGCGCCGCGCTGCCTGCACAGGTGCGTCATTCATGACCCCCCACCCTGCCGTCGGTGGGGGTGCAAAGCGGGTTACTGGTTGCAATCGTTTGTAGTACATACTAGTTTGATCTGGTTGATCAAACATTTGCTGAATATTGCGCTTGATCTCTTGGCTGGAGACGTTGATATTGAACGTGGAGTTAGTAGATTTTAAGCGTAAGTATGTCGTTTATTCTTAGTAAAAAGGTTTCTCTTCTAAGTTTATATTAGTAAAATATAAACTATTTTATTGAAAATTTACGAAAATTTAGATCTTTTAACTATTTAATGGCATTCAATTATCTGTATTTATACCTAATGAGGATTTCTTTGTCCGCATCTTCAAGCTAAGTTTCGCACACTTGCCTACAAATACAAAATTTTGTTACACATACAGTTTATATTATACTAGCTGACCCGCGCAACTTCGTCTGCGTCTCTCAATAGTAATAAATTTTCTCCGTTTTTGAAACATTCTTCATTGGTGCTCCGCTCCTATTGGTCTTAGCGTGATGATATATAGCCTATAGCCTTCCTCGATAAATGGGCTTTCTAACACTGAAAGAATTTTTCAAATCGGACCAGTAGTTCCTGAGATTAGCGCGTTCAAACAAACAAACAAACAAACAAACAAACAAACTCTTCAGCTTTATAATATTAGTATAGATTTGTTTCAGAGTTTGGGTGTTTTCTGTGTATAATATGTATGAATTTAAAAAAAAGTATTTAAGAATTCTATCAGTCAATCTAGCTTTCATAGTAGAAGCTCTGTTTAGTTTGAAACTAAATGGCGTTGTGTGTTATATGTCCGAAATATTTATTTATTTTGTACGAGAACTGCAGAAAGCTAAAATATTTAATCAATAATATGCTTTTAGAATTATGCGAAAAGGGCTAAAAATCGTATAAAAGTGGTTTCTCGTGATTCAAATTATAACTAGTCATCTCCTTTACTAACTCTAACAACCTTAAGTTTTTTTATGCCTCTTTAATTTGCTTATAAAAATGTAGAAAGAGTAAAAACTCTTTAATGTACTCCTTTTTGGACGTTAGCAGTACTTGAGTCGATATTGCGGATTAAATGGGTCCGTAGAGGGCGCTGCCTGGCGAATTTCTCACAGGTAATGCGGTGCTATCTCGGGAATACAGCCTCGCTGATAGCTGTGAACTAAAGGACGATTTGAGCTCGGGTCTCTACGATACGTACTGAATAAATAAATTGCTTTTATTTTCTACACAGACACGAAGGGCGTCCTTATATACCAAAACATTTGTTATATTAACTTGCTCTGTAGTTATTATACAGTTTAGAAGGGAACACATAAATATTCCGAAATATTTTACTCCGAATTTCGGTGTTCCGATTTTCTTAAGCCCGAATTTCATAATACCTAAGAATTATAATGTCTATTATTAAAATTCACGAAATTTGTTTTACCGAGAGTGGTAAATGCGATTTGTTTGTTTTCCGATTTGTATACGTTCGAGGAATCAAATGCTCGATGGGTTGTCGGCACGAAAAACGAAATTCCGAGTTTCAATACTTCGAAGAAACTGCTAAAATTAGGATTATGATTTAGGTACTATAATATTTAGTTACGCATATTTAATTCAAAAGCTAAGGGTGACGTATAATATAATTTAAAAACGTTTCATATACCTGAGTGAAGTACCAAATACTGTTATTGAATTCTATGGGCTAAATTAGGTCAGAACTGTGATCCTAGGAGTTGGCGGACCTCCGTGTGGCCTGTATACGTGCCCGGAGGGCCTACACATGGTGAGGAGTACCGGCTTCATGAGGAGTACCGAGAGGCGCGGAAAACTCTGAAGCTGGCCATTAGCCGCGCCATAGAGATAAAGAGAAAGGAGATGCTGGAGGGCCTCGACCGCGACCCCTGGGGTCGTCCCTATCGCACGGCACAACAAAAGCTCCGCGCGTCAGGTCCCCCTTGAGGAGACTCTTCAGCCCAGCCCAGTGGTTGAGGCCCTTTTCCCGCAGCGGGCGGAACACACACCTCCGTCGATGGCCTCCTTGGTCGGAGACGTCGGGGAGAATCAGGATGATGTTCCACCAGTTGCGGATTCGGAGGTAAGGGTGGGTCCGCACCAAGAACACCGCTACCGAGCTAGACGGGATACCTGCCCGTGTGCTGGCCGGAGCTCTCGACCACATTTTTTTTAAATGGGACTAATCCCACCCACACTCCCACCACTGTAACTCCTGTACACCAGGATCCACAGCAGTGACCCACGAACACACCGAGTTATGACACTCGGGAAGCCCCAGGAAGAAATAAAACTGTCTTGGAACCCGCAACGAAATTAATCAGAAGAAAATTGGAGGAGTTGGAAATACAGTAAATCCACTTCCCTCCTTAGCAAAGCGGGAGACAAAATGAAGTAAAATGGGCATACACCCTTTTAAACAGGGAAGCACCACGGCCACAAATATTAATGGTCCTACGTGAGCTATTTTTGATTTCTATAATATGTATGGCAGAATCGCCTAAACGCACGGAAATTCACCCTAGTTGACACAAGATCCCCATAGTATACCGCCCCAGATGTCACCTGCAAGCTATTCAGCATTATATTACGTTCATTATACCAAAGACTACATTCCCAGATTATATGATGAGCAGACTGTTCATAGTGAGAGTTAGGTGTTGAGCATTGACACAATGGTGACTCGACTAATTTAAATGAATAAAGCTTGTTCTTAAAGTTACCATGACCCGTAAGAAATTGAGCGACACAGTGATCCACCTCAAGCCATATCCTCGACAACCGCTCGCGAACAGATGGAAAGAATTGGTAAAGATGGCGCCCCTTGGATGATTCATCCCAGCGTTGTAGCCATTCGTCTATGAGGTCATTATAGACATCGGGCTGCTGTTGAAGCAATCTTGTAATTTTACCGCGATCCCGCGCGCCCAAAAAATCGCATTCCATGTTTTGTTGTCTTGAATAGTACATGGCTGCACGTCTCTGCACCTCAAGATCGACCGGAAGCACACCCGCCAACACTGGCAAAGCCTCAGTGCTAACCGTCCTATATGCCTTACACAAGAATATCAGTGCAAGTCGTTGGCCTTGTAACAGTTTGCAAAGGACAGCGCCTACGGTCGCCCTATCGGCCCATACAGGTGCACCATAGCACATAGAACCTAAATAAGTAGCTCCGTATATGATCTTTAATGTATTAAATGATAGACCCCATGTCGCAGTTGATATCCTTGTCAATGCACAGAAACTCTTTTTAGACTTTTCATTAACTCTCTTTCTCTCTCTCTCTTAGCTCTCGACCACATGTCAGACCACCTCAGCGCTGGAAACGGGAAGCTGGTCCTATTGAGGAACCCGGGACGGCCTGCCGATTAGGTCGCGGCCTACAGGCCCAGCGTATTGCTGGACGAGGCACGTAAATTGTTTGAGAGAACTCTCTCTGCCATAGTCCGGCACCTCTGCGAGGTGGGCCCCGATTTGTCGAACGCCCAATTCGTTTTTCAAGCGGGGCGTTCGACGGTCGACATGTTCATTCCACTATCATGTGTGCCAGAGTACCTGAGGCGGCTAGTGGCAGACTACTTAGAGGAGCATATCGTCATGTACAAGGACCAAGATGGTGCTTTAAGTCGTTGGCCCATGTCGTGCGGTGTTCGGCAGGGGTCTGTTCTCGGACCTCTCCTGTGGAACATGGGCTATGACTGAGCCTTTCGAGGTCACCTCCCACCCGGGCTGGGCGTTATTTGTGTGCTGGGAAGTATCGGCACTCGCTAGGAGGGAATTGAGTCCTGCTCACTGCAATTGCAGTGAGGACTCGGCTCAGCAAATGGTAGCAATTTGCCCGGTTAGGCGTCGCAGCGTCGGGTCCTCACTGCAGTCATCGGCGAAGATCTTTCGGTACCGGCCGTCATACGCTCCAAGGCCGGTAGTGATAGTTGTTTTACCGCAAACGCATCCTTCTGCGAAGGCGTGCCTAGCGCTCGGTTGCCCAAGACGTTCCTTCCACTCCACGAGGATTTGACGGAGTTGGGATTCCTGATCCTAGATTTTGCGAGACTCAGGACACCGACCCAACTCCCGCGCCTCCTTGGGCCACTAATACAGAGCCGCAAGGGCCCTAGTCTCCAGGCCCCACGGTGGAGTGCCGGAGGAGACTCGCCGCCTCAAAGGAGTTCGTGCGGACGAGTTCGTCTGGCCATCAGGGTCTCCGCTCATACTGGGCCCCATTAAGGGCCATGGACCGCACAACGGGCACAACGGAGTCATCGGCCCCCCTCGTATTTGTGACTGACGGAATTAAGTTCTTCGTATTTGTATAGAAACCAGTTTAGAAACTATTTCAGTTAGAACTTGTTTCTCCTCTATTATACTGCAATCTCTAAAGAGTTATTTAATTTTTAAACCTACGCCGTGCAGTAAATGAAAACAACACGAAATTGTATAGTGTGCACTGTGTAGATTGTACAAAGTAGTAACTTTTTGTTGTTGCAAAGGTAGGGCTAGCAAATATACCTCATAAAACTAGAACGAGCGCACGAACATTGCTTTACAAGACAATTATAAACAGTAGATTTATTTTATTTATAAAGGTTGAATGTAAGTATCAACATTTTCTGTAAACTACATTTATCCTTAAAAACATGATTTTTAGATATAATTAATACCTAAAATAATGCTTCCTCTATACTTCTTGGCTTCATCATTGGACCATTATCACTTTGATGGGACTAATCCCTCCAACGCGCCATTATTCCTTGTCACCCCTTGGTACAAACAAAGTAAGTTACCACGACCTTCAAACCTTCAAGAAAAGAGCGTACTCCTTCCTCAAGCACTACAGTACAGCTTATGACTCCTGATCAAGTAAGTTATTTAATATTCATTACAAACAACACGACAATATATCAAAGTTGGCTAATTTGAGTATTATTTGCTTCAATACAGCAAAAAGAATGATATTTGTTTTGCGTTAGCGTCTCTCTGTTATTAACCTCTTATTGTTAGCTAATCTTTCGTACACGCAAAGAATAAGTAATAGACCTTATCATATCATTATTGAGGAGTGCAAAAAGTAAGTAGGTAATTTATCGATATACTCAGTAATACTAAAAAGTATTTATAACATGAAGCAACACTATCACAATTACCCGTGTGGGCAGTTTATTCGTCGTACGTAACATGCTCTTACAAAATTATCTGTGTACTAATAACATAACTTCAAATGTATTATTAGCATAACATCTATACAAATAATCCCATAATTACATAGATATAAGTAATAATATGATATGGTTTGTACGGGTTCGTGGGGCACTAATTATCTAAATCATGGGGATGGAAACTTTAAAATAAAATAAAAATTAATTAATAATTTAGTTCATTAAAATACTAGCTTTTGCCCGTGGATCCAACAGCGTTTATGTCGGCTACTAAATGTAGCCTATGTGATAATGTAGCTTTGATGATGTAGCTTTTCATTTGTGAAGAAGTTTTTAAAATCGGTTTAGTGGTTTAGCCGTGAAAGCGTAACAAACAAACAAAATCACTTTCGCTTTTCAATTATAAGTATGGATGTCCTCAAGATTAGCATGTTTAAACAATCAAGAAAACTAAACACAAATGAATTAACAAAATAATGTCTGTAGTTCTAAAATGGCGGCGCGACACTGCGATGTCACGTCAAGGCCCTCGTGAGCAAACTGCTTAGAATCCTTCGGCACGAACGTCATTCGAAAAAAATGACACTAGATTTATGAGCTATGTAGTGGATAACCACCACAAATGAAACAAAAGACTACATTTTGCTAAAATTATCAACTTTTTAGAAATTAAAGTAAATTTTTGATTATAAAACATTTTTAACAATTAACGGGAATAAAATATGTCTGGTTTCGTACTAGGCCTTTAGGTAACTTAACTGTACATGTAGGATAGGTACACAATATACTCAAGTATTACGACACAGTAAAATAATTATATTTTATATAATCAAGATTTCAATAAAAGCAATTGATAATCCAGATAGTAAGTGTTCAATAATGCGTGAGCACTCTTACCCAACCAGGGGTATCACCTGTCGATTGTTCGAGCTTCAAAAAGGCTTAACACACTTGTTTATTGTAAATTCTTTTTTTATTGTCTAAGAAAACCAAATAGGTATGTATGTACAAACATAAGTGAGCCGGCTTACCGTGGGAAAGCAACACTTACACTCACTCACAGAATTTCGGTGTTGAACACATCTTTCGTTGCTTTCACCAAGTGGCTGAGGTTACCGAAGCACAAACCCCTCCTCTGATTCTGGGGGATGACTCAAAGGTTCGCAACGCTCTAATGACTCTTGACTTGCAGGTGTCTATCACTGCCTATGGTCGGCGCTGAGTACTGGCCATCAGATGAAACGTTTACTCGTTCGCCTTTCTATACCATAAAAAAATCTTGCAAGTTTCCCAATTTTATTTCAGGGGTCAGCACAGTTTTGGACAAAGGATTTTGGCTAGTTTCTTTCAAGTCGGCTGCCTACTTGAACACATTCTCCTTGAGTACCTACTAAACTACTTGAGTAAATTGGAGTAAGGAAAACAGATAGGGCAGGGAGCCAGGGTAACAGCAAGTCTCAAAGAAATTTTATCAATGAGTTCACAGCTCGAATAGGCCGGAGGGGCATATCTGTATGGACAACCTGTGATTGGCGCCACTAAGACTTTTATTTTTTGTTTAGCGTCAACCCTAGTTAAATGGAATTGCCGAGTTCGTTTGGCCTTGTGGCGCAGTGTCGCTGATGATCCGCGACGTCACTGCCCGCGCCGCCCTCACACGCCTCCACCCTCGCTAGGAATTCGCCTCGTTTTTATATATCTCTTATTACGTAAGTAATCGCGGCCCTGACATTTAATAAATTTAGGGATTTTGTTTTTGTGAATGATTTAATGGCGTATCGTATCTGTTATAACGTCTTGATATGGTGGAAAAGAAATTCTTTTAAATAGTCAGAAAATGAAAAAAGTTCTACTCACATGATATAACTTTTAATGTAGGCAGTTTTGCGATAATGAATTTACACCTACGTGTCTTGGGGAATATAAACGGGTTGGTATAGGGTTTGTGTCAAGTTTTCCTTCTTTTTTGCAGTGTTGTTGTCCTGAACAGTTTGCTCCATTAATCGGTTCTAACCACTCCCACGGGATGAATACGGGTGGTGACACTCCGTATTCTTAATTCGTCATATGAATAATAAAACCAATTAGAGATTTATAGTGTTGGAAAACTGTCGTGTCAAGATCACATTTACATAAAATGCGTGGGACCTAGTGACGCATTACCGCAACATCGGAGTCAAGTCCCGTGGCGTCGCCTCGTAACTAGCTTGATCGTTGAAGTATGTCATATCTTGTTTCATGTAACTTTATGTTCGAATCTCACGAGAATTGGTGTACACATAAGTTACTACATCTAGGGCCGTCAAAGTGTGGCCAACTCACAAACAGGTTTTAAGTAATAATTAACAGACTCCATTTCGCGGCGTAGTCAATTATCTCGTTTGCCATGTTGTGTAGAAAAAATATACTAATAATTAATGGTTATAACATTGCCGCCTATGGCTGATGTTCCCTTCGCTAACCACAGAACGGACAGGGGTACGAGTACGCGGCCCGGCCGTTTCTTCGAGCTACTGCAGTTTCAACCCTGCTCTTGCCCTATCCGTTTACCCTTTTGCTTTTGTGTTAATATCTTTGCAGGCCAGTGTTAATCCCTAACAAACAAAATTGCGAAAGGTGCGGGAATGTGATACTCATGAACAATCCGTTAAGGTACGATATTGTATGTTGTATGATATTCATTTCTAAATTGATAAGGATTTTTATAATAACCAATTAACTTTCAACTTTTGATTAATATTGCATTTCTTGCAATTGACAAATATCACAATTCCATTAATGAGATTCCATGGAATACAAAAAATAATAATTTGCCGCTTGTGCAATTTATTTTTTTATTGAAAAAAAGTTGCAGAAACCAACAATTTTGAAATCGGTTTAATTTGGATTACGACGAAGCCTTCGTCGTCTGAACTGTAATATCCAGCTACGAAGGCATGTAGCCGGGATTAAGATATTAAAATCTAGGTCTAAAATACTTCGCTCGGATTATAGCCGGGCCGAGCGAGTAACTTTAGCACATTAATGGCGATAAGGCCGTCCTCTTCGGTGTTACCTGGAAAGTTAATATCGTAGTAAGGTAGAGTAGATCTTTACTTAAAAAGATCAGATGATTAAAAACCCATTTCACGCGTCTGTCTCAGTAATAATATTAATTAACCATCATGTGGAAGTTGATTCTACCAGTTGTTGTCTCATACAACTACTGCCTTACTGTGACGTAGACGAATTGGTAGCCAATTGAGCTGTGAACAGAAAGAGGATACAACATGATCATAATTACGGATATTATAAACCAATCGAATGAAGTTATTAAGAAGACGGTCTAACCGTACTACTCACTTTCAACCCTCGATTCTGATTTGCACCATAATGGTTCTACCGTGACTTTGAATAATGTAGGTACAAATTTGTATCACAAAGGATCATAACAGTTTGTTAGGTAGGTACTAATCGTTAGATAAAACAACAATACTCGATATTGCGCAAATTATCAATCTACCTAAGTGTATACTGCTTATTATTATAAGGTAGGTATTCAGTGAAAAGTGACGATGAAGAAGAAAGAAAGTAAAAAGAACTTTATGGAATACTAGCTGACTCTCGCAACTCTGTCTGCATCTTTTAGAAGGAATACATTTTCCCCGTTTTTGCAACATTGGTGCTCCGCTCCAATTGGTCTTAACGTGATGATATATAGACTATAGCATTCCTCGATAAATGGGCTATCTACATTGAAAGAATTTTTCGAATCGAACCAGTAGTTCCTGAGGTTAGCGAGTTCAAGCAAACAAACAAATAAACACTTCAGCTTTATAATATTAGAATAGATAATACGCAAAAAAATAATTAAGCATTTAATGTCGATTTGAGATTTAAACCTGAGAACCGACTGTAGAAATTTAACAAAATGGGACTATAAGAAAAGTAATTAATATTAATAAATTTATTGTTTTCGAAGTTGGGTGTTTCTGCTCTCTATAAGCAGGTATATGTCAACGCGCGACTCTTCCACGATTACAGCCGGCGTGGTACCTCTCTGTTTTTTAAAACGAATCATGAGCAGTAGTGAGTCGTTATATTTATACTAATCTACAGTAAAAAAGTTTCCTTCTGATTAAGAAAAGGAATTTTAAAACTAAAACAACATTAGAGCTGCCATCTATTGGGCATGTTAAGAAATAAGTAGATTTCAATGTAACTGTTTGTAAAATAATAATAAAAAAACTCATAAGAACGTATTTTTTAAATATTTAAAAGACGTGTCATATCAAACTTTTATGTTCAATTTCAGAAATTACTCCTACATCCTTCATCTCATCAATACTAGAAAGCTGAACGTTCTACTTTTTAATCATCTAATATTTACTGTCGTTAAAATTTATTATTGATTTTAGAATATCTACGTCTTGATATTTTCACTAGACCTCATTTTATTTTGAAGAATTCTTTAGTCGTTTGATTAAAACACTATCAGGCTGCACAAATGAAATGGAGCAACGGAACGTTGAACTAGTTAATGTTTACGAAGTAAGGTATGCCATGTTCTTCTTTATGGAAAAGTATATAAATATTTTATGTGGATTTAATGTAATGCAAATAATAAAAACAATACAAAATTGAGAACTAAAATAGTGACAATGATTAAAAAAGTATTTGTCATATTTGAAGAATGATAATTATAGTTTAGTTTCTGATAATGGTGAGCTAACTGAGCTAACAGAATAGGGCTAACATGTTGTAATAGGATTCCGCGAACTATGTTGTCATCTGTCAAATTTGGCCTTCAATTCGCTGCTGATCTTGAGGGTTTTAATGCAATTTCGATAAGGTTTTGCAATGTACGAGTAAGGTGTTCATTTATTTCAATGTTGTGACATATTGTTAAAATAATTTCTGCGTGATAATGACGTCGAGGAGTAAGAATGCTGTGCGGAGCTTTGAAACTGAGATCGAAAAGAGTCGCGAAGACTCAAGCTGGAAAAAGGCAATAGAGTTGGCTCAGCAGTTGAAGGCCAGATCTACTCAGCACGGTCAGTATCGCATGCTCAAGGCTCTCTTGAAAATTGTAACGTTTCTAATCGATTTGTTAGTTATCACATCCTGTAACTCTTGTCATGTAAACTTGAAGAATAAAGACACATTTGCATTCTAATTAACTAAACAAGTTTCACAATTTTGCTCAGACTTTGTTATGTACTTTAAGATGAGAAAGAGATTTTATCTATAAAAGTCACATAAAACGATAAATTATTAAATATCTCTGGTAATTGGTATGTGTTCATTATATAAAATACTTCAAGGTAATATTTTTCGAAAACAACTGAAAAAGATATATAAATTTAAAATTTTATAAGAATTTATTATGTTCATTGGAATAGACAATTACTAAATAATTTAACATAAACAAATTCTATATTCCAGAGGTATAAAAGTATAAAATATACATCCTCACAATGTCTGCTAATATGAAAAAAGAAATAGAAAATAAAGATTTGGTTTGACAGCTAGAAAATGTGGCTTGACCACATTTACTCTTGTTTATGTTCAGTATTTTGTTATTAAAGTGCCATTTTCCTGTCCTATCGTATTGTTACCATAAAATAATAATTGATAAAAGGAACACGGCACATTTTATGTTTGGAACTTTGACAACCTTTATGGGTGTTAGTCTTACAGAGGTTGAGTAAAGATGGCTACATAATTGTTTCTATTCTTTGTTAGTAAATAGTTTTTTTACTATTCATATTTTTATCTCAATATATTTGTAGTTTTGTATTATGTTTTATCACAACTTTTTTGCTGTAATATGCAGCAGTCTAATTAGACCGTTAAAAAAAAAGTTTTAATCTGAACCTTCCAGTATCAACTTCCTTCCTTGCCTCATTGAATTTAACTAATTTCTTTATTTCTGAAATTTATTACATTCCTAAGAATATTAGCCAGGTATAAAAGAGATCAGCTAAATCCCTGTTGCAATATTACACATAGTGTTGACCCATAATTAAGTTTAGGTAAAGGCAGTACTTGTCCGTGTGGTGACGGATTAAGAATACAGAGTGTCACCACCCCTATTCATCCCGTGGGTGTCGTAAAAGGCGACTAAGGGAGCAAACTACGCAGGACAACAGCACTGCAGAGAGAAGGAAAACTTGACACAAACCCTATACCAACCCGTCTGGCCAGCGTGGTGTAGTAGGCCAAAACCTCCTTTCTAAGGAGAGGCCTATATCCAGCAGTGGACTAGTAAAAGCTGTTGATGAAAGGCAGTACTATGATGATTCACCACAGTGAGTCATCAAATTCATTCTCACAACAGTCTAGCTCCAAAGTTGAATTGATGCAGGTGAAGTATGATGTTGAGCAAATGAGGGATGAAACACATTGGGTTATATTTAGAAGATGAGAATAATTTTATTTATTTTTGTGACAGCAAGTTGTGTGCAAGTTTAAAATAATTATTACATCTTTAGATAATTTTCGTCAAATTTAAGGTTGTCTAATTGCTGACTACAAAACTAAACCATATATTTACAAATATTACATACACCTTAGATGAACTAATTGTTTAAATCCTTAATTAATTTCTTACATCAACAGAAAGCCTTTGCCATTTCCTAATTGGAGAAGGCAAGCTTGAGGCACACCTAGATGAATATCCACCAACCAAAGAAAACATTGAAAGAGCTCAAAGAGAACTGTCAGATGCTCGTGGATACCTGACCTTAGCTACAGATGAAGCTGGAAAACGAAGTGGTGTTGCATTGGATGCTCATCTTCTTCTCGGCAAGTTGAACTATGCCTGTGGGAGTTATGATATGGCATTGAAACATTATGAATTGGCCGAGTTGAATAGTTTGACAGAAAAAGAACTGCCCGTGTAAGTACATGACATATTTTTATTTATATATTACTGCTAAAAAATATTGTTATGGATGATTTAAACCATTGTAAACTGAGTAACTAAATAGAATTGAATAGCTTTGTTGGTTAATCCTTGCTGAATCATGAATAATTTAAAATCAGTTGCAAAATTGTTGTTGCTCATTTGATAAGTTGTTTATGGTTGAATAGTGTTTCTAAAAATATTTGCAATTATACTCCTTTGCCCTTCTTTTTTTTCTTTCTTTCAAATTAAAAACTAAAAAGCAATTATTATTATTGTATATAATCTTTATTTCTATACTTTTTTCTAGCATCAGAATCTACAATTTTCAATGAGATTTAAATAATTCTTTTTGTATTGCCTAGAGTATATATTGGGAAATAATAAAGCCTCTAAAATATTATACTAAAACAATCAGGAGCGGGTAGTAGCATATATTATCATAGGTAGGGTTATCTTTGCTTACACTAATTACAACAATTTGTTTTATTGGTTTTTTATTCCTAAAAAGCAAGCTTACAGATTACTGCCATTTCATGTGACAGTGATCCAAATTTAGCATACACAACATGAAAAGGCAAAATACAAGGCATATGGCAAATACAAAAACTTGCCACTCTTAATTATACCAACGCTACTCAAGTTCATGTATCTACAGCATACGTAAAATTAAAACTAAATTATTAACAGAAAAGAAGAAGATAATCTATCTAATATACTTAAACGAGCAATTCTTGTATATATTTATATATATATAATCTGAATCTCGGAAACGGCTTGCACCATTTTCATGAAATTTAGTATGCAGGGGTTTTCGGGGGTGTTTAATCGATCTAACTAGGTTTCATGTTTAGGTACTAATAATAATAACTCGACATATCTCGTGTGAGCAATGCATCCCTTTGCATTCTTCACCTTTTTAATACATTTCCCTTTCAACATACTGCTAAGTTCCACACCTTTAATGTCCAAAGCACCGAACAAACTATTGTTGGCAAAATGTGGATATGTATACATTGCTGGACATAGGCCTCTCGCATGCACGTCGCTTCCATCGATTTATGTGTAATTTCTTTATGCAGCTGTTATTTATGTAGGTGGTAGTAAATATCACTTGATCAGCTTAAGTGCAATAATAAATGCATAACTTCATTTGAGTGGGTTTCTGGGGTTTTAGTCGGTCTGGTTCCGACACACCACCCCGCCGCCAAACCCGGTGGGGTGACGGCCCGAGGGTGTTTCCACACGTAAAAAAAAAGTAACTCATTTCGCGGTCAGGACGTTGTGGAGAGAACTATTCTTGAGCTTAATTTTAAGACCAGCTCATAAGCGATACTAAACACTCACAGGCGTGTGAACACATCGCAAGTGCTTGTCGCTAGGTAAACTAAGCTAAAGTACTGATACTTTGTGGTATTGTCGCAAACGCCCTTTGATGTGCCTTAAATTACGTGTCTCTACTGTTTATGTGACGTCCATAACATCAAACAGACAGGATAAAATAATCGTTATCTGTCAAAATATTGTGTCTGAGCACGCACACTTGACTCATACTGATGTTAAAAATGTTTGTTGTGGGATTGTTTGCGATTAAAGTGTATGCTAATGACCCTTAACTATTTCGGTCAGACTCTCATTAACTAACCAGTGTGAGATCTAAACTATTTTTTTTATTAGTTCAATGTTCTAGAGTCTAAAAACACAGTATTAATAGGTAAAACCTCGCAAATCGACATTTCCTGAATCATGACGACGTAAACTGGAGTCTGGAGATTCACATCCTGTCATATACCATCGGAGACACGACAAAAGCTAGAAATGAGCTACTTACTTTTGTTAACAGTGATCTCACGGTAATGACGTCACTTTGGACTTTGCTTTGAAATTAATTACATTGCCAATGTAATGTAGGTGTTTAAGAGTGATGTTGATACATTTTAAAATTCTAAATAAATTAGTTACAGACACAGCTCAACTTACACACCTCTAAGCAAACATATAAGCAATGTGCCTTTCTTTCTAATGCATTTATTTCTTAATTTTTTACTTTCAATATGCTCAAAATTTTCTATTTTTATGTCCCACCCAGGACCATCCCAGCAGGATAATTGTGATGAACACAATCATTTGTGTTACTGGGTTTTATTTATCTATAAAATGTTTCTATTTAGAAATATATATTATTATGAGTATGTTTATCAGCGGTTTGATTACCATGGTACAGCCTGCCTAGTTTGAGATCAGATGTCCGTGTGTGAGATGTTTGAGGTAATATTATTGTTAATTGGTATACTTCTTAGTACCTAAATGAGGTAGCAAAAAGCGGTTGCCTAACACTCCTTCGCCTGCCCTTTGGAATATAGGCTTGAGTATGATGTAGTTATGTATGTATTTGCACACAAAATGTGTCTGACAGGGAATGGTTCTGCTTTTAATCACTTTCTGTTCAATTGACTATTCTACCTAATTTTCGCCTGAAAATATAAATAATTTCCTTTTGAGACTACCCGCTTGGATCTTGATTCTCGTTCTTAATACAGGATAAAAGTCTACTGTACGTTATGATATTCTTCCCCCTTCAACTAAGCGAAATGTTTGTGTTAGAACAGAATACCTTGTTAGGATGTCGGCTGTGTGCTAAGTGCAGGGGCGGATCTTGAATTTGTGGGGCCCTGGGCTAATACTGCTTAGGGACCCTACCTAAATGGCCATTCCCAACCAATTGCCATTTTGTCAAAAAACTGTTTTCTGTAGTGATGTAGGTATATATAATATATGTTAAGTACAGGAAGAAAATAGGAAAACAAAATATTTTATTTAATTATTAAAACATTATTTGTTGCTAAATAAATTGACAGGTTATGAATACTTATGTTATATTAATTATAAAGCAACCTTTCAGCATTTTTGTGCTGCAAATTCTTTTATTTGGTCATCGCACTGTAAGTCCTTTGTTAAATCGCAATTTATGGAAAGAACTGGTAAATGATTTAGTCGATAGTTCGACATTGTTGTCCTGTATTTATTTTCTATATACGACATCCTGGTTTGACAAACAAGCGACAGGGAATTCCCCGTTCCGTTTGAAAGATGCGCACACGGGTGGATTGATCGCAGTGTTGCCAACCTTGTGATCGGTTTTTTTTAATTCTAGATAAAAAAAAAAGTTGACAATATTGTCTATTGTTTCCAGTTCGGTTGGGGGCCCTCTGTACCCACGGGGCCCTGGGCTGCAGCCCAAAAAGCCTTTAAGTAGATCCGCCCTTGGCTAAGTGGCTTCAACATCTCTTTAGCCATTACGGTACCGATGTTTTTATGCTTAAATATTGCTGTGAGATATATTCTCACGATTTCTAGAAACATACAATTGTTTATAATATTTAAGCGTGACCTGAATAATCACGGGGTAACTTTTAATGTTTTTATATGAAAGAGTCGAATCTTGTTTACGATTTTTTAAGTCATACTGCCCAAATAACATGAGCCGATATCCCTTTGCACAATTTTTGTCCTAACAATGACATCTTTCGTCGACAGGTTTTTTTTAGGGTTTTTAGCCATTATAGTTGCTTTATGTTAGTGTTGTTTTTGTTAGAGTCAAAGGCTGCTTCTTCTGTGGACATGAAAATTTAGAAAAAAATCGTAATGTAAGTATATGTATATTATACAAGGAAGGAGGAAGGAATTAGAAACAAAAGTGTCAAGCCTAAAGTAGCTCTGCCATTAAGAGCAAAAGCCGTGATATAAAGCAATAAAATATACTCGGATAACGCACGGATGGTTTAGTGCTTTTAGCGGTCGCCACGATGCTTCCTTCTGCGCCGAGTATTGTGGGTTCAAACCCCAACATGGGACGACACTTTGTGTGATCCACAAATTGTTGTTCTGAGTCTGGGTGTACTTTGTGTCCGTTTCAAATATGTTTGTAAAGTCCCCCGCCACACAGGATTTATTCCTAGTGCGGGAGTTGTCTTTTTAAAAAACAAAAAAGAAACCTTACACTACCCATGGCCCGACACGCACATGACCATTTTTACTTAAATTAATTCAGAAAACACTTAATAAGTTGTAAATGTATACATGTTACAGGCGAAGTCTCCGTATCGTAGCGGAGTCGTACGCCATTAAAGGATTATGTTTGGAGCAGAACACCATTCCCGCGTCGACTAGCCGGTTCAAACAAGCGGAGAGAGAATCAGAAATGGTAAGACACATGCCTATGTCAAAGAATTTAATGTTTACAAAACTCTTAAGTCCCTTTTAGGGACTTTTAACATGATGCTCAAAAAATATCTCTCCTATATCTCGATCGTTTTGTATCTCAGAAGTCTTTTAGGCTTGTCGTTGCTGTCAATTCGATATAGTACTGTTTTACAGAATACAATTATTGATTGAATTGAAATTATTGAATGTTCGCGTATATGTCCAGATCCGCAGTTTCGAGCTGTCGTCGGACCTGACGTTGCTGTACCTGCAGCGCACGTCGAGCGCGCGCGCCGGGCCCACGCTCGAGACGGCGCTGCAGCGCGTGCCCATCCTGCACATCCGCGCCGGCCGCCTGCAGAGCGCCATCGACAGGTACCGAGCGCGTACATCTTTCCTTGTGCACACCGGAGTTGTGCTCTTATGTTTCCGAGCGAATATTAGATCATGCCACTGTGTCGCCGACAGGTATCGCGAAATGCTAAACGCAGTAGAATCGGTGTCGACGCAAGCGTTACGACTCACGCTCACCAGACAGCTGGCCGAGGTCTTGATGCGAGGAGTCACTGGACAGGTAACCGACGCGTAAAGTGATTCCGTCGAAGCGGTAACGTATCGATCGGGTCCTCGAGTGACGATGATTTCGTACATAGTTCGAGTGATGTAAGGGTGAGGTGTGCCGCAGGTGTACAGAGCGCCAGAGAAGCTGGCGGCTCTGCCGCCGCAGGGCACCCTGACTAGGCGGAGGGAGGACCACTTTTCGGACGGACCCTGGAAACCTAAGAAGTACGCCGCGATCAATCAGGTGAGGTCGTCTCGCGTCTCCTTCGACGACGTATCGTACTAATTTCACAAGTAGGCGACGTTCTAACGGGTGAACCGTCGCAGTTCGTGCCGCGCAACGAGTACGAGGAGGTGGTGCTGCTGCTGCTGGTGGGCGAGGCGATGGCGGTGCGCGACGCCGTGCTGTCGCAGAGCGACGTGTTCGAGGCGGAGCGCGCGCACTCGCTGCGCAACGCCGCCGCCGTCATCGACCTGCTGGCGCTCGCCGCCACGCGCTGGGGGCAGCTGTGCCTCGTGCTCGAGGTACGTGCGATACGGCCAACGAGAGAGACGGACGATAGATACATACCTCTGTCTCTTTCTAATCGGGCTCTGCGCTCGGTTAGATAGAGACAGAGGAGAGTACCTCTCGTTGCCCTTGTCGCTCGTGTACCGTAGTGTAAGCGGGTGCGTGTTGTGTGCAGTCGCTGGAGCGCGCCATGAAGTTCTCGTTCGGCAGCGCGCACGTGTGGCGCCAGCGCGCGCTCGCCACGGCCGCCGCCGCCCCCGCCCCGGCCCCCGCCCCGGGCCCCGCGCGCGCGCCGCCCCCCGCGCCGCCCGCGCCCGCCTCGCACGTCGTGCCCGGTGCGTACCGCGCTTGCTATTGCCTCGCTCACCTCTATCATTTCTTTATACCCGATACGTTTCAATGCTATGCGTAGAAACGAGCAGAGGAGTAACTCGATGATGATGATGTACCCCTTTAAGTACCCCTCCCCACAAAATTAGGGGTAAAGTTGAACCTTTAGGGACCTCATTCAGTCGATAATAGAAACGTGCTCATCACCGGTTTTCCGTACGGCCGTGTCACTCCGATCGACCCATATGTATCGAAGTATAACTACCTATTCGATTTTTCGAAAGCATTTGATTAGGTACACCAAATTTTCTCTTCGAGGTCATGACAAAATACGATACACGATTTACATTATTTAATCAACTGATTTATTTCTTATAGAGTGATCCTAAGTCCTTTTTGATCGGAGATTATTAATCTCATTATATATATTTTTCGTGAGGTGTATCCCAGGGATCCCGGATAGGACCTGTCATTAATTTACGAAGATACGCTACTACAGACGTTCTCGGTTATCAGATTTTTAAAAATATTTTCACTCGCGTAGAAAAAAGCAAATAGTCTAATGATAATAAAGATAGGAACCACACATCACCAGGCCTGTAATCGCGGCCTCTAATATCAAAACAGTTAGACTAAACCAGTAATAAAATAATTTTACATCTCTCATGTTCGGTAAGTAGGTTCTTATTACCTTCAAATGGAGCTTGTAAGTGGCTAATTAGCGCTCTAGGGTAATAATGTAGCTAGAAAAGTCCTAGGGCGGTAAGTCATTAAAAAAAAAAACACTTCTTCCTTTCAAAAAGTTCACGTACATCTAACCATTATACTGGCAATAGACATCATGCATTCAGCCCAATGACCAAAGAGGTCGCTTTGCTATTCAGCCTTGTCTTCGTGTGAGTATAATAGTCATTAATTTTAAATATCGAACGGCGAAACTCAATTTCGATCTTGAAAAAAAAACTTAAAAAGTTCTTTACTTGATTCTTTTTAATGAAAAAAGGCGGGAATAGAAAACTTTTACTTTAAAAATGGTTTGTTTTTGGGATTATTTTATAATTACGTGCTAATTAAGAAAAAAAAACATGAGTTCTTCAAGTGAAAAAAAAAGTGATGAAGATCTCAAAAAACACCTGTCCTTACCCACTATAAATTTCAACAAATAAAATGTTTGATTCTTGTAATGCCGGTTTTTTTCTACTCACCTCACAATCGAGACGTAAAGCGGAATAGTTAGCTCGGGTGTAAGCATCAATCGCACCCTAGAACTGTAGGCGGCAATCGCGATCGATGCCTTACAGCCCTCGGCTACTGATCTACTGTAGATGATCTATTTATCGACCACAAACTTTAATATTTCGTAACACATTCTGCTCACGCTTCAGGTAGTAGTACATACACCACAAGTTTTGTCACAGGAAGCGATAACTCGGTACGGCAGCGGTGTGATTATATTGATATGTTTATTGTAACGTGTCTCAGGCAGCAGCTCGTGGAGCGCGGGGGTGCGCGCGCGGGGGGTGGCGCGGCGCGCGGCCCCCCTCGCGCCCCGCGACGCGCCGCTGCGTCTCGTGGCCGCCAACACCTGCTACAGGATGGGCTGGGTGAGCTCTGCCGCCGTCCTACTGCGCTCCGTCTTAGCGTCCCACGACCTCTAACCGTACCTCTCTACTCCACAGATAGAGGAGGGCATAGAGAGTGCGGAGGAAGCGTTGTCGATAGAAGAGAAGAGAGATGGACCGATGTTGGCGAGATGTTGTCTCCACACGGGCATCGGATATCAAATGAAGGCTCAGGTGATTGTTCCTCGCTAAATTTTTATCCGTCAGTTAAAACAGACACGTTTTCATGTCGGTAGAATAAAATAAAACGTTGTTCTCAGAAATGCAACAGTCGGATAGACAAGGATGCAGCGAACGACAAATCGTTAAAACTACTGATAAGGGCGGTGCAGTTGGACGATAACGATCACCTAGCGCTGTACTATTTAGCTTTGCAGTACATGCATCTCGGGATGCTCAACGAAGCTATGGTGAGTAATTAATAAACATTAATTATAATCCGTGTGGTGGCGGATTAAGAATACGGAATGTCACTACCCCAATTCATCCCGTGGGTGTCGTTACACTGCAAAAAGAAGGTAAACTTGACGCAAACCCTATACCAACACGTCTGGCCAGCGTAGTATAGTAGGTCAAAACCTCCTTTCTAAGGAGATGCCTATGTCCAGCAGGGGACTATTAAAGGCTGTTGATGATGATGATGATGATGATAATGAATCATAAATGTGTAATTTTTTGGGCTTTTGGTCTCAAGCCCGTAGTGCTCTGTACATGGTAAGTGTAATCATACAAAACCCGTACATCTAATTTTCTACTATAGAGAGCGATTACTTTAAATAGTATACAACTGAATCAAGAAACATTAAGAAGAAAATTCTTATTTCCTTTGTTGCAACTCACTGATTAATTAAAGTTTGAACATCTTAATCTGCAAGTACCGGGAATTAATCAAATGGTATAACCAATTTCCTCTTAAGAACGTTAAAAATGATTTTACAAAAAAAAATGTCGTCGTGGCACGTTTGGCAGATGTGAAACATGGAAATTATTTTGTAGAAATAATGGGTATTAAATATATGCCGCATGCCCGTGGTGACACGTCGCCACGCCGATAGGCCGTTCTGGCATTAGATGTTTCACATAAGAACATTTGGTACAGATATAGAAATACAAATATAAACTACTGAACTATGTCACTTTCATCAGCCTTCTCTTAACTACTGGAGGAGAATATTAATGACAGATATGTTTAGTACATCAAAAATAATGATCATGTGTCTCTCAGGCAATTTGAGTACTAAAGAGGTAAGTGTACGGAAATGATGTCACGTTATTAACATCGACGGTGTTAGCTTATCTTGGCAAGTACAATGTGTTTTTTGAAGGAAGCCGTTTGTTGGTATTGATCTTTAGTTTAAATTCCAATGTTACCAAAAAAAAACTGTCAATATAGCAATATAGTTAGTCCAAAAGCTATTTGACGAAAACAACAAAATGTGTTAGGAAATATTGCTTTGAAAGAAAATCGAGAGCTACCAGTTTTGGCGTCCCATAGGGCAGCATTTTGGGACCATCAAGTACACGTCGGTATACACTAGAGCTAGATGGATAACATGACTGTGTAATATATGAATTTACTAGGCTGCGAATGGAATTAAGCAAATGACTACATCGCTTCAGCACCATTTGTTTACACTGAATAGTAAAAAGACTTAACATATATGTTTGCACAAGATTTCACAATAAGATTTCGAATAGCACCCTTAATAATAAAATAGGCCAGTGTAACGACCAAAGGTAGTGAATAAAGATTAACACTAACAAATTCCTTAGTCTCATAATCGATCAAAACCTAAATTTTTGAAACGAAGCTAAAATTTGTAAGACAACCAATAAATTAAAGATATCGTCATCAGTATCGACAAACGTCGTGAAATCTGTATACACACTTCGCCTTTAGTTAATCACTCTTTTAAAGTCAAACTATCTTTATTTCATCAAAAAAATTAAAATTACTTGAAATCGTCTTTAAGGTAGACTCTTAAGTCCTAGACCAACACACCCAATAGCAACATTCAATTAATAACAAAAATGGGAAGAGGATAGAACCTTGTGGAACGTCCATTTGTACCACAGAGTGACCACTCACCATTAATATCAACTTTCTGAATCCTTTTATTTAGACATGAAGCAAGAAGTTCCAGAGCTTGAATTTGGATGCTATAGTGCTGTGATTTTCTAATCAGCGTTTCATAAACAACACAATCAAAAGCTTTAGTTAAATCGCAAAAAATACCTCGAGAATCGCGGACATCAAATATCATGTTTTACTAGCTCAACACTGGCATCACTAGTAGAACTTGTAAAAGCAAAGTTTCTAATGTGTAATATATAACCGGTGTTTATTTTCTGTCCTGGCAATAATAAATTTACGTACATATGATTTGTTGTTAAACTTTCTCTTCTGTCCTCTATTCACTCCCAAGATGTGCGGGCCTGTGGGTCTAGTGGTTAGTGACTCTGACTGCTAAGCTGGAGGTCGTGGGTTCGATTCCCACCCAGGACAAATATTGTGTGATGAGCACAGTCATTTGTTCTGTGTCTGGGTGTAATTTATCTATAATATGTATGTATTTAAAAATATATAAGTATGTTTATCAGCGGTCTGGTTACCATAGTACAGGCTCTGCCTGGTTTGGGATCAGACGGCCGTGTGTGAGATGTGTGAGATATATTATTATTATTATTTGGTGAAAGACAAATCAATTTTATCTTAAGCTCGCCTTTGTGCATAACATTTCCTTGATTCGAATCGGAACTTCAAAAAAGAGTGTGTAAACAAAAAAGAACTATTATAGTGTTCTCCTTTAGAAAGAACTTTTTAAACTTACTGCAGCCTTACGTCTATAGTATATATAAATTTTTGGTTAAGAGTACCAAATATTCTTGCGCCATTAGTTACAAAATGGAACCCATTTTTTTTCTGTTAATTTCCATCTAACCCAGCCTAGTTGTGATCAGCTGAACTCACAAAAGAGTTCAAGAGTGAGAGAGATTGTCAAGTGACCTAGTGTCCGAGGAAGATAGCTATTTAGATTGTCACTATGTAAGGTGCGCTAGTGCTATTGACAAGTCTTGTCAGTGCGGATGAAAGTTGCATTAAAAAACAATTGTTATCGGTTAGGTATACATGACACCGTTGGTTTAGTAGTCGTAGTATCCGGTTGTATGCACTATACATAAATATCTTTATGTCTGACGATAATGTAGTTATTAGGTTGTTTCATTAAAACAATAGGTGATCTTATATTTTTTTATTTTAATAATACCAATAATATTTCCGTGTATCTATTTAAAAAGAGTGGCCGTTTTGTGGACCGGCACAGGCGTATATAGATTTTGTTTAAAGGTTACATCTACATACATAGCTATTTTGCCAAATATTTGACAAAACAGATCGACAGAAGAGACGATTTCTAATATTTTTAATAGAATTTTATGAAATAAAAACATTATGAATTCGATTGGGATGTCTATTTTTTTAAATTCGCTCCGTGGCAGGTTTGTCGCGGTTAGACTTCAGTCATTACCTGGTATTTTGTAAGTTAGAACGAACGATCGATGTACTCATATGATGCAGGACGCGACGCGGTCGTGCCTGCGCGCGCGCGCCGAGTGCGGCGGAGGGCTGCGCCTCGCCGCGGCGCTCTGGAGCTGCGCATGCGCCGGCTCGCGCGGGGCCCGCGCCCTGGCCGCCGCGCGTCTGGCGCGACACCACTACCCCAGCGCCGACTGGCCGCTCGCCGCGCTCGCCACCTTGCAGCTCGTCTGGGAGAGCCCGGAAGTAAAATGACTCTCGATATTTATTAGGATCGAATAAAACATAAAGTTATTCGACCGTTTCGTTTTATCTATCTATGTGCATATATAATATTATAGCGTTATTCGTAGGCGGCGTTGGCGACGGGGAAGGAACTGCTGACGCTGGTGAGCGGCTCAGAGTCGGAGTCGGAGACCGAGCACAACGGGTACGCGAAACTGGACGCGCTGTCGGACTCGCAACACGACGACACGCGGAGCACCAGAGACGGAGGTATATCGACGTTCGGATAGATACAAACGATGAGATACAAACGGCAAGAGTCGTGCGTTATACGAACGGCGTTTTCCCCAGCGTCGATCCGGGCGGAGTCTGCGGGCGTGTACCGCATCGAGCGCGCGCTGTCGGAGGCGGCGTCGTCTCTGTCGGCGCCGCGGCCCCGCGCGCCGCACGCCGAGGCGCGCGCGCAGGCCTGGCTGCTGCTGGCGCAGCTGTGTCTGAGGTAGGCCCGGCCCGCGCCACGCCTCACACACCACACCACACCACACCACGCCTCGCCCACAGATAACGGTTCCATATACTTGTAGGTTGGGCAGAGTTAACGCGGCGACGGGCTGCGTGTCGGAGGCGGCCACGCTCACGCCCTTCAGCCATCTCGTACTGTATACGGTGAGTTTTGTTCCTTTATGATTTACCTCTATAATTGCTCGATCGACGACTTTTATCGAGGACTCTGTTTGTTTCGTCACACTTTAGTAACTCATTAGACCTAATGCTTTTCATATATATTGTATTTTTCATTAATATCTAGATAGATGAATATTGACGATAAAAAATAAACTTCGAACCAGCCTTGATACATAATCTAACCCAACCTTTGGTCCTTCGAGCCTTATTTAAATCAGTGTCATCTATCGAAATGAGACTCTTAAATTAATTTGACTATGGTACAATTACAAAGATCACCGACTATTGCTGAATCTGCAAGAATCAAAAAAACAAACGTAGGCTAGTCGGCGGTGTCGGTTACGTCACACGACCCCTACATTATCGCGACATTGACCCGGTGAATGAAAATGAAAAACATTTAAAATTATTGTTGAAACATCAGATCTCGGAAATAGAAGCCGTATATAATTTATTTTGAAGGTCTGGAACAGCAGTCGATTAACAGTACAAACTAAGTACCGAATTTTATCTGTACCGTAAAGAAACGATACGGATATGACCAGCCTACCTACAGTCTATTCCAGGAATATTCTCCACGAACATACAACAGGATTTGTATCTGCCTGTTGGCTTGTGCACATCCATGTATTTCAGACAGGGTCTGTCGGAAAAACACGAAAGCGTACGATCCGACGCTACACGTGACGGAAACCTGTGTACTACATGAAGTCTTATGCGTGAAGAACAAGGACATCAACTGGTTGGTTTGGACATCAATCCCAACAGTGTTTAATAACATTATTTGAACCAAACATTATTTGCATGTAAAATAAATACATTTTCATGAAACACGTCTGCTACACATCCTTTTTAAATGATTTTCAATTTTATTATTAATATTATAGCATTCATTTTCGTTAGTGATTTGATTACACCTTCAGAAACTTTTTCATTCAGGTTTAGTATGAACGAAATGTCAATATTGTGTAAGTATATTAAATATGCTTTAAAAGCCAAGTCCTTCACGTAGTTGTTATATGATTGTACACAGCGAGGTTTGGTCCACGCGGCGGGTTCAGAGTGGGAAGAGGCGCGCCAATGCTTTCAGAACGCGCTCGCCATACACCCCACACACCTGGACAGCATCGTGCAATTAGGTCAGTATACATTGTTCACTATAGACATACAGTAATGCAGGTTCTACTTCAATAAGAGAGGAGAAAAAGTCGAATTTAGATAGAGTGAAAGAGAATTAGAAATTAAGGATAGCTATTGGAATGAATAGAATAAAATAGATGTAAAAGAATATGGAATTAAAGAAAATACAGTGAGAGAAGAACATAGCGAGAAGAGAGAGTTAGTTAAAATTAGATAAAGAATAAAAGTTAAAGTAAAAAAGCCTAGGAAAAATTGCGTTTAAAAAAGGTAATGGAAGCGAAACCAGTTGAAAAGAAGAGATTAAGATGACAAAATAGGATAAAGGTAACAAGAGATAAATATAAAGTCGTCTTTTCTTTGAGGTAACGTTACGATAGTTGTTTGGCACTTTACGTGTTGATCGGTAGGTGTTTGGCATTATTCTCCAATCGTTTCTCAGACTTGGGAGTATAAATTATTTACTAAATCTTGCCTTTAAATATATATTTTTCTTTAACTTGTATAACAAGCTTATGTGCCTTACCTTGTCGCAGCCTGTTGTTGGCTCTTAGACATACCAGTCTTTTTTTCCACCGCTTCTTTTATCTTCTATTTTATGCATTTGTTTTATAGTTGAATGATATTTTCTGAATACAAACTGATTCTGTGGTATTGTCCCTGAGCATTTCAATGTTTGCATAAGTGGCATATCATGGTGGCGTACCAGGTTTCAATATTCATGAATGCCTGCGAGATTGTCTGTTTTGTTGGATAATAGTCAGTTTTCACTATGTATTTTAAAGGTTGTGTCGTAAGGATTGGCTTAAATAGGCAGCTATGTAAAATTTCAGCTAGCGTAGCGCGTCAGTATAATGTAAATCTTATCTATTACTTTCGTCTAACATTAGATAGAGAAAAAAAGAGGGAGAGAGAAAAAAGAACATTAGATTGAAAGAAGAATAGAATTCGATACACACTTCTAAATAGTTGAGATCGAGAGGAAGAATGAATTGAATAAAGAAAGAGAGAAAGTTAAAGATCGTCACGTGTAATATGATAGATACGATAGTACGGTAGAGTAGAAGCGAGCGAGATAGATAGAAAGCTAGGTCAGACAGACAGTTCGGGATGTAGCGGTGAGGTGCCCTCAGGCGCGGCGTACTACAACCTGGGCTGGCTGGGGCTGGCCGAGAAGGCGCTGCGCGAGGCGGCGGCGCTGGAGCCGGCGCGCGCCGACACGTGGCGGCGCCTGGCGCTGGTGCTGGGCGCCGCCGCGGACCCCGCCGCCGCCGCCGACGCCGCCGCCGCCGCGCTGCAGCTGCACCCGCTGCACCCGCCGCACCCGCTCGACCCGCGCCTGCTCTAGCCGCGCCACACCTCGCCCGCAGACATACAGCGCGTGGCAAACGAAGACCTACCAATACTATATACAAAAATATGTTCATGTTTTAGAGTCAGTAACGAACGAGCATTTCCTCATTAAACTTAAAATGAACCATCGGCACTACACATAAAATTACATCACACGTTTCTGTAACGCCCTGTGAATTATGACTGCACTGGTCTCGCTACCGAATAGGACTCTTAGAAACGACACACGACTCCACTAAATCTTTATACTGAACCACTTCAAAAAATGTAATTTCTACGAGTCACACGACGCCCTCCACCAGACATCCTATTTAAGTACTATATTACGTTCCACGTTATAGAAGACAAGATAAGACAAATAATTTTCATCCAAATTCATCTAATTATATTGTATTGATAGATGTATCGGTCGCACTCGACACGTGTCTTGGTTATAAAACGAGACAATTGATACTCGAAATTGTAAAACGGATGCTGTGTTTTGTAATCTTGTAGTACTTGGTACATTAATGCTATGAAACTGCCGACATTGTACTTATAACGTATATATATAAATACGAATATTTCGATATAAATAATTATAAAAAAAAATACCTATCGTATTCAAGTAAAAATATTTAAATATATCTATGGTAAACTTAAAATTTAGAACTGATTCCACGATACAAGTTAGTTGTATATTTTAAATAAATGAGTTCTTTTATTGTTAAATCAGTATCGGTATGAATTTCCAGGAACAATTATGAAACGGATACATAATAGATAATTACAGTCCTTGTAGAATTATGATGCTATTATTGTATGAACTTAAAATTCATGCCATTCTTTCAATTTAAAATCATTTTGTAGGGACGTTTTATTAATAATAACATATTTTTAGTCCGTTTTTGAGTTGTAACACCTTACTTCCCGCTATCCTCCAATCTTTGGTAGTGATTTCGTGAAAAGGGACGGAAATGTGTAACAGGTGACGCGCGCTACGCGCTTATGACTTATAAATGGCGTTCATTCTATTGGGTAACTCGTCTGCTCGTAACTTAGCCACAGAGCTCTCGCGGCGCCAAACTTGTCCGTCACATGTTACACATATGCGACTACTCTATATCTCGTTAGTTATTATTTTTATAATCTGTATTTTTTTTTACATTTTCGTTCATAGCTAACATTTAATGAACCAGTTCATAGCTACGAGAGAATTTCGATAACAATTTTGGCCAATGTCCATCTAAATTAACACGTGACTTACATTCATTCTGAAAAAAATGGTTTGCTTAACACCACGTTGACGGATATGATAAGGATATTAACGTTATCATACATCTAATAAATAATTGTAGTAAAGGCGATATGGACGAAAGTAACCGTTTGCAATAAATCCTCATTCTGTAAACCGGTTGTCATATTATGGACACGCTAGTTCGAAGCTACTAAAACTCACTTAGAATTTTAACAGACACTCTAAAGTACCTGCTTCTGATTTGTAAAAATGAACTGTAACAGATATATTGCATATATATCGTTAAATTAATATCGAAAGTAAAATATGAAATTTTTCATTTAAAATCCTATTTATTTAAGACATTGTGCTCGTAATTTACGAGTCAAATGTGATGACATTTGACTCGTAAATGTTTTAATGTTCGAGGATCGAGTTAATTATTGACTTCCATCTATAAAAGCGAATGATACCGCTTATAATAATCACTTACACAGTAGTGAACAATTAGGTATAAGTAGACTGCAAATGTTATAAATTCTATCCACATTAGTCTAGCATTACACGTTATAACACATAACCTAATATTCCCATAATAATATTATTTTGGCGCGTGATAATGTGCGTGCGTTTTCTTGTTCTACAAGTATATTTTTCTGTGAGAGCAGTCTCTATACTAGTTATTTGATTATAATTTTTGCAATTTTAATTCAAAATTTGTAACGTATATAACGAGAAACTCATGTAGGTAGCCGTGTATACTACAATCTGGGTCTGATTACCTTCTTTTTAGATATCGAGCCTCTGGAATTGATGTAGGCCTTGTGTATACCGTGTTGCGGCCATAACACTGCTACATTTCGCTTTTGAGTTCAGATTTTAATAACGTCATCTGGCTTGTATCCCGTGGTTGATCTGTGAAGGAATGCGTGTTATGTCTCTCCAAAGCAAAAGGAGAAGTGATCATGTATATCGGACCAACTGATATTGGGAAACTGTATACATATAAATCGGCGTGGGAACTAACATTGCGCGATGTAAGATTCGTGGTTACTCCGTATGGTGGAGCTACATGTCACATGTCCAGGAAAGCCGCTTCACACCTCGATAAAGGTTGTCCGTCGAGTCCAAAAATCAACATTTTCCTTTACAAGTACTCACAAAAGTGTATATTTTATCCTAATAAACATATTAATGTAGATAGTTGTACAATAATATGTCATTGATTCTAATTGTTTAATGACTAAAGTTATTATTTTTATTCGATTTTATGTTATTTGTTTGTGCAGTTGTAAATAGTCATAATTTCTTTTATACTGATTACACGTCGTACAAGTATACAACCCCACTGTACCCAAAGAATGTCATATTTACTGCGGCCCTTCATTTCTGAGCTCATGTCAAGTGAGCAACAACGTTATTTATTGTAACAATGTAAATATGTATATACTTCGTGTTCACGTCACTATCCAGTTCATTCGAGTACTTTCCCATTGTTCAGATGTCACCCCTAGATGTATAGAACCTTGACAATACAATTTTTAATCTCATCTCACGTCACTCGCGACTCACGGTGTGCTGAGGCTGGATAGTGTGTCTGTCCTAGTATAACGAACAGACTTAACAGAATTTGACTGCACGGATGGCGCAGTGGTTTAAGCGGTCGCCACGCCGCTTCCTACTGCGCCGAGTGTTGTGGGTTCAAACCCCACATGGGACGACACTTTGTGTGATCCACAAATTGTTGTTCTAAGTCTGGGTGTTCTTTGTGTCCGTTTCATGTATGTTTGTAAAGTCCCCCGCGACACAGGATATATTCCTAATGCGGGAGTTGTCTTTTTTTAAATAAAATAAATAAATTTTCATAACTGCGGTATATATTTCGTTGATCAAACTGCGGATCAGGTGCGCGTATCGTTCATTAGATCTATCTAAACCATTGTCAATTACAGTTATTGTTATACTTTGCAACAAAGTTAGTATACGTTAATGTCACCCCATAATGGTTCAAATGGTCGGTCGGAATTATGGGTGTAGCAGATTTTAACACAACAAAGTAAAATTTTGATTTGAACAGACTCACAACACAAATGTTTTGTTCCAACCGTGGTGCTAGTAATCATAGTACTGTAACATAAATATTGTCGTCTTATAAACTTACTAAAAATAAAAATGAAAAAAGGAAACAAACGGCCATTCAAAAACGAATCCATTTTTTTCAATTTAAACATGACGTCACACAGCCACCGTGTTTTTTAAACACCTATCTATTTAAGCAGCAAAATAGAAACCAATAGCTAATTTTGTTAACAAGATATATATTTTCTTAAACATGTGATATTCAAAACCGCAATAAAATACTATAAAAGTCTATAAGAAGATAATTTATTTGTAAACTATTGTTTTCTGCATTTTAAAATGTATAATTTATACAGTAAACTATCATCTGCTATCATTAGTACGTACGTCCTGTGAAACTATAAAACCAAATAAATGGTAAACGTGTTAACATCACCCATTGTTTGTAACTCAAACGGATGGAGCAAAAAGATCTATAAATATATACACAATGGAAATGATCAATGCAATTAACTAAGTATGTTGACATTAACCGATGCCGTGGTTTAAATAGTGTCATTCATAATTATTAGTTTGGCTCTTTGATGCATTTCTTCCCGTATTCTTCAGTGGTATACCTGTGTACATCCTGATTGTGTGCTAGGAAATAATTTTAATTAATTACAAATATATTTTTGCGGTTCTTATAAAACTTAGCTTACTGAATTGTCGTTATATAATTATTATGAATATTTAAAAAAATATCACATTGTTGTAAACACGTAGGTAATGTTGTATTATCATCCGTTTCTTCCACTACTTTTTATGTGACTATACCCGCCGCGGCTTCACTTTCGAGTGTATTTTTGCGTGGAACCCCCATTTGTTTTCCAAAATAAAAGTTACTACGAGTACCTTATAATAGCTATCTAGCATTGAAAGTTACGTGAAAATCGGCTCATCAGTTAAGCTGAAACAAACAGGCAAACAATGCGTTTTTGGTTAAAACATATCGTATAAAAATCCACATATATTTATTTACTAAAAACCTCGATTCAAACTGAAATATTTTTTATTGAGTAGGCCTTGTCACAGTGCACTTTCAAATCAGTAGTGTGTAGTGACATTACAAAGAGACGCGTCAATTTTATTACTTTGTGTAGATCTATGCTTATTTTAAAATATACATTATTATGTGTGTATATGCCTGCTTTAAATTACTATAATATATTGGTTTAATTATAAACAAAATATCATAGAAAACGAACGAAAAAAATCATTTATTTTCTGAAACTTTTTTCTGAAACCAGTGTGTTCGCTCTGGACACAGCTGTCACACGCGCTAAGTTCATGTACCTGTTGCAATTAAAATGTTACATCTTAGAGCATTAAACCAATTTATTTGTTTAATGCTTTAAGTATTAAATATACTTTTGTCTTAAACCTGTAATATCATTGTGTTTGAACTGTTTCTCATAAGTTGTAGATACAGTCGTGTGCAAAAGTGGTGACGGAATGATTTTAACAGACTTCTTGTAATTATTTATTTTTAAACATAAAACAACATCTATGCACTACCAATATATGTTTATAAAAGATATATACGGTTTTAAGCACTTGTATAGTTCGGGAATGTTTGTCTCTAATAAATATGAATACCACTGCAAGGTTTTTGTTCTAATTTATAAAATAATATTAATTTTTTGGTGGTAATGTGGTTT